ACGTAATTGTATGATTGAATGAAATAGAAATTACTTCATTAGGAAATAGAAATTATTTTATACTTTTTAGTGCATTTCGAAGTTGGTGTATTTTTTTTCTGAAAATTAGTTTATAAGCAGAAATATGCACTGGCAATTTTTAATGACTATCGCGGCAGGAGTTCAGCCCCACGGTACGGTTCACATCGAACCGTCCTGTCCGCAAAGGGCTAGATAGACCATAGTTACATTCTATACGCACTAACACCTACTTCGCGGCGTTTTATACTTTTTAGTGCATTTCGAAGTTGGTGTATTTTTTTTCTGAAAATTAGTTTATGCAAATATTGCAAGCTAATAGTATCAGCTACAAGCCTGAACAAAAATTTTAGCGGGATATTGTGGAATATACAACTTTTAGTCCACATTTTTAACATTCGCGCATGAAGTTTCACCTTTTATTATTTATATTGAATATCCCTATCATATACCGTTACCATTAACAATTTTCAATATAATAGTACTGAAAAACATTCTATTTACTTCCAGGAACAGCGTACATTTTGCAGAATTGAAATTAATATAGTCTGTTTAAAATTATTCACTTTACACTTTGCCCTGCACACTGAACTTCACTGCACAAAAACTGTGTGACGAATGAACGCGGTAAGTGAACACTCACCATTTTGCAGGTATAAGTAATAAAACCTTTACTCCTCTGTTTTCCTATAGATACAGTATTAGAGTGTACAACTCAGTTGTTAAAATAGCCCCAACGAAAAATTCATTTTCGAGGTATTGGCCAAGTTTTTACGATTTGGAACCACTGTGCGGCGTGAACGTGTTAATTCCGGAGATATTCCCAATAGTGTGATTTCAAGCCTTAACTTTGAAGGCTATTTTCACCCCTTCATTGTGAACGATGGCCGATAAAAAAAATACGCATCAAATATTTTCTTGAGAACTATCTTTCACATAAGTTTCATTAAAATCGGTGTGTCCCGGTTCGATATGTTTCCTTGTGAGTATGCCAACATTAATTATTAGTATAGCGTGAAGTGTTATTTTGGGATCTTATTATGAAGTTCATATTAAATTTGTGATATTGCGAAATTTCGCTATGTGATATTTAACAATCTGATAGAGTAAAATTTTTTGAATTGACAATATATTGGATAGGTGGAAGGAAAGTTTTCTTTAATACTGTATAGATTTCTGTAGATTTCTGTAGAATACAGTAGAGGGAGGAGTGCTAATGTGTGCGAAAATTTGTGTAAATTTGGCTATTGAGAACTTATTAGGGGCCCATAAATAATAGTTTATTTATGGCTGGACCGTCAGTCCATTGTTGAGCCAGGGTTGACTCGGGTCGAGGTCAATGTTGTAAACCATGTGGCAGGCAGAGAAATTAGAAAACTGTGCAAAACATCACAGTTGCCTGTCACATGGTACAAATAGGGAAAGTTCTCAACCCCACTTTGAACGCCAAAAATGTCTAACATCTCTGGAAGAGGAACCGTCAAGGGTCTACCTTATTTCTGATTTTCATGGAAAGCGCCAGAATTTTCTCGACAGCCACAGGGGCTTGCTAGTGTTCCGACCGTCGGACACTTACGGATTCGAACTTGTATTTTCGAGGGGCAGTCCCTTAATAAGTCACACGTCCAAGTCAAACAGTAAAGTTTTTTTATATAGTCCACTTTGCAATTGTGAAATTGTGAAACTTTCCCACCTCACTCGTCATTCTTAACCGGGCATTCGGGCGCGAACATTGGCAATACAGTGGATATTCTATATAAGCAAATCTTTCGGGTCTGAGGATTTGCGTATATCGTACAGGTCCTACATTGATTAATGTCTTGCCGAACGTAGAAAAGGACAGAAGAGAAAAATATCACGGTCGCCGTTTGCGTATATCGTAAAGGTGCTACATTTCGAGCGAAGGAGACCGAACGTAAACAGTGACCTACTAGAAGGACACTCCTAATGCAAAAATAAAACTTTTTTATTTTTTATTTTTTTTTGTTTAAATATTTTCCATCATATTTGTAACATTTTTCTCATTAAAATGAGACCAAACACGACATACTTCGGGACATATTTACTTGTAATTTCAAGTGTTACGCGTACATCGATGATTTTACTCTAATAAGATATTGGAAGTAAATATAACTCAAATTACGTCGTGCTTGGTCTCATTTTAATCAGGAAAACGTCACGAATATGATGGAAAAAGTTATATAAAAAAATAGATGAATAATAAAAAAATTACCAATGTTCCAGTATTGCAAACAATCGAACAGACTTTTGATCTTTGCCGACTGCC